ACTCTTTTGCCCACGGGCGATAACGGGCGTGACTGGGGGGGAGGGGGGGAGTGGGCCAGTCACGTCACGATTCGCGCCGGCGCCGGCTGGGAACGCTGAATAATGGCTACCTCCCAGACGGCGTCGGCGCGAATCGTAACCTGACCATGGGGGGGAGGGGGAGGGTAAATGGCCGAACCGGTGGACGTGATGAGCCCGCTGCATGCCCCACTGCTCATACAGAACAAGCCAGCACGCTATCTTCATCTTATCGCTAATTTTACGGTTTATATGATTATCATCATTAGTATTATTAGTATCATTATTATTAGTATTACTGTCATCATCGTCATTTTATCAGTATGATTATTTTCAGTCCCATACCATTATCACTATTCTTGACGCTTCGCGTATCCCAACCAGCCCATCCAGAAATGATGCCCATGAGAGCTGACGGGGGGATAGAGGAAGAGACACGCATAGTCAAACTGGCCTCGGAAGGCCATCGAACAGAAAAAGGCGAGAATACCACATTCATTGCTTTTTTTTTTTTTTTAAAAGGATGTTGACCTCTTGGCGGCCCCCTGGGGAGGCTCCGTGGCCATCTTGAGCCGTCTTGGAGCGGTCTTGGGGCCTCTTGGGGCCTCTTGGGGCATCTTGGGAGCCATCTTGAGCCAGCTTGGACTATCTTGAGCCATCTTGGAGGTCATCTTGGGCTCTCTGAGGCCGCCTGGGGGCCACTCGGGGGCTTCTTGGGTGCCTCTCGGGGGCCTCTTGGCGCTCTTTTTGGGCCTCTTGGGGCGCTCTTTGGGTCCCTCTTGGAGGCCTCTTGGGAGCCCTGGAGGGCCTCTTGGGGCCATCTTGGAGGCGGTCGGTCAATAGATGGGGGGTCCTCGATGTGCGCCCCCCCCCTCGGGGGCCGGGCCACGATCTTCGTGAGGGGTGTTAGAAATTTGCCCTCCCACTGGCTGAAAAAGGAGCCTCCGGAACCTCGCGAACTTTCGACAAACAAAAACCTCAGGGAGGGGAGGGGGAGGGTTCCCCTCCTGGAAGGGAAGAGGGGCTGTGGAAAAAAAAATCACACTTGGACCACCTGTCGCCCAAAGGGCTGGTGGGATTATTATGAGCATTCGCATTCGCATTTTCATTTGTATTGTTTGTATGTGTTTTAGTTGTCGTTTTAATTTGCGCATGGTTATATTTATTCTTGAACCACTACTACTACTACTGCTACTACTACTACTACTACTACTACTGCCGATACTAGTACGACTACTACGACTACTACGACTACTACTACTACTACTACTACCACTACTACTACTACTACTACTACTACTACTACTACTACTACGACTACTACGACTACTGCTACTACTACTACTACTACTACTACTTTTACTACTACTACTACTACTACTACTACCACTACTACTACTACTACTACTACTACTACTACTACTACTACTACTACTACTACTACTACTACTACTACTACTACTACTACTACTACTACTACTACTACTACTACTACTACTACTACTACTACTACTACTACTACTACTACTACGACTACTACTACTACTACTACTACTACCACCACGACTACGACTACTACTACGGCTGCGACTACGACAACAACAACAACACCAACAACTACTACAACTACTACTACGACGATGACGACTACTACTACTAATATTTTCACTACTATTACTGCTACTACTGCTACTACTACCACTACTGCTACTACTACTGCTACTACTACTACTATTACTACGACTGCGACTACGACTACTACTACTACCACTACCACCACTGCTACTTCTACTACTACTACTACTACTACTACTACTACTACTACGACTTCTGCTATTTCTCCTTTTCCGACTACTACTACTACTACTACCACCACCACTGCCACTACGATTGCTACTGCTACTAGTACTTACTACTACTACTACTTACTACTACTACTACTACTACTACTACTACTACTACGACTACTACTACTACTACTACTACTACTACTACTACTACTACTACTACTACTACTACTACTACTACTACTACTACTACTACTACTACTACTACTACTACTACTACTACTACTACTACTACTACTACTACTACTACTACTACTACTACTACTACTACACTACTACTACTACTACTACTACTACTATTTCTCTTACTACTACTATTACTACGACTACTACGACTACGACGACTACTACTACTACTACTACTAATACTACTATTACTACTACTACTACTACTACGACTACTACTACTACTACTACTACTACTACTACTACTACTACTACTACTACTACTGATGCTCATACTACTGATACTACTACTACCACTACTACCACTACTACTACCACTACTACTACTACTACTACTACTACTACTACTACTACTACTACTACTACTACTGTATTACTACTACTACTACTACTACTGCTACTGCTGCTGCTGCTGTTGCTGCTATGATTATTATTGTTATCGGTGCTTACATTGCTTGCTATTGTTATTGCTGTTGGCATTCGGTTGTCTCTTATTGGTCCTACCATTCTGAATATAAATATTAATATGCCTTCTTCTTCTTCTTCTCCTTCATGACGCCCTCGTACTTTCGGGGCTGCAAGCTCCCCTTGAAGCCACGAGCCGTGGTCAGGCTGTGGTACCTTGCCTCTGCTCTGCCACCCACGGCGGTACTTGTACGATGGGCCGACTCAAGCTCCCCGTCGCTTCTCTCCAGTGCATTGCTCCATGCCAGTGAACCAAACAATGATGCAACGGGTCTTGGGCCGTTGGCTTGAGAGGTGGAGGTGGAAGAGGAGGAGGACGACGAGGAGGAGGCGGAGCAGGATGAGGCAAACGGAGGAGGCAGAAGGAGGAGGAGGAAGAAGGAGGAGGAGAAGGAGGGGGAGGAGGAGGAAGCGGAAGGAGGCAACATGTGGAGCGGGAGGAAGTAGCAGGAGAAGAAGGCGGAGAAGGAGGAGGAGGAGGAGCGGGAAGATGAGGAGGAGAATGAGGAGGAGGAGGAGGAGAATGAAGAGGAGGAGGAGGAGGAGGAGGATTATGCAAAATAAGGAGGCAGAAAGAAGAGGAGGATGATATGGCAATGCGAGGAGGAGGAGGAGAAGGTGGAGGAGGAGGAGGAGGAGGAGGAGGAGGAGGAGGGAGGCACCGCCTCCCCTCCCTGGAGGGCTTCAGGACTAGCTTGGAGGTCCTGAGCCCCTCCCTCTCCTGAACGCGGGCGACGAGCCAGAGAGCACGAGATGCTACGACTGGACAGCGTGTCGCTCCTCTCCGCGGGGCGGGAAGCCTGGAAATGCTCGGGGTGGGGACGCGGGGGGTCTGGGACGTGGATGGCGTGTCGCGCCGACGCGCGGCAGGCCAGAACGGGCGGAGCGACACGCTAAGCCAAAGTTCCCGATTGTAGACCCCATGCTTTTGCGGCATTTTTCGAGCCCAATTGATCTGTGAAGCAACGCAGTCACGCTGACTCTACGCGGCCCCCCCTCGCCCGCGGCGCGTCAGGGAGCTCTTTTCGGTCAAGGTGGCTCCGAAATCGCATAACCTGGCCCTCCATATCCTGGTGTCAGTATGCTCATTCGAGACTCAAGTTCGATCCAAAGGTCCAAGGCCACGGATTGGTTTCGGGGCCCGAAGCCTGGCGAAAACGCCCAGCGGCATGAAACAAATGTAACGCCCAGATCTCAGGGAACATGTTGTTATTATCCTCTGGTGCGTAGCGGTCGTTGACGGCCCCCCTTCCCCTCCGGGTAATGGTATAGATCGTACGCATGGGGGGGGGGGAAGCGGGCCTGGACGCCCTCCAACATGCTGGTGCCCGCGCGCATATTTTAGCGATCGCAGCGCCCCCCCCCGTCCCGACGTGTCCCACCCCACCCAAGCGTCACCACTACCCGCCCCGCCCCTTCCCCCCACAACGACGATGACGACGACGACGACGACGACGACGACGACGACGACGACGACGACGACGACGACGACGACGACGGCCATGACGACGACGGCCACGACGACGACGGCGACGACGACGTCGTCGTGGCCGCCGCAATTCGTAGATGAACAAAAACCATGTCCGTATCCGCGGCCTCGCGGGCCGGGCCCTCGGGCCTGGGCCCTGTGGACTTGGGGCGTTTTTGTCGCGGATGCCCCGCGCGGAACGTAGCCGTGTGACCGCGCATCTGCGGGATCGCGCGGGGAGAGGAAAATGGGGCGTACGAGGAGGAGGAGGAGGAGGAGGAGGAGGAGGCGGAGGAGGAGGAGGAGGAGGAGGAGGAGGAGGAGGAAGGGGGACCAGATGCGTATGCGATGCTGCCAGACGCCCCCACTTCCCCCCCCCATCACGCGCCCCTGCAAGCCTTCCGTTTCAGTGCAAGAGGCGCCCCTCTTGACAGAGCAACGCAGTTGGGCCCAGAATGCCGACACCGAGGGCGCGGATGCGGGTCTATTCGCCGCTCGCGGGCACCCCGGCCCTCTCCGTCTGGCCCTGGCCCTCTCCGCGCAGGCCATCTTGGCTCCGGCCGCGCCCGGATGTCGCGAGGAACGCGCCCGGATGCCGCGGGCGCGCGCCCGGCGCAGCGCTCTCTGCGGCCGCCGCGCCGCGTTCCTCGGGGCCCTGGCGGCCCTCGGCGCCACCGCGCTGGAGCGCCCCCCCGCGGCCGCGGCCGCCCGCTGCCGCCGCCGCTGCGGCCTGGCCTTCCATTCTGGGCTCCTCGCTGGCCTCCTCCTCCTGTCCTGCCCTGCCCTCTGCCTTCTTGGACAGGCCAAGCTCGAGGCGGCGGCTCCCCCTCCCCTCTCCTCTTCCTCTGCCCCCTCCTCGCCTCCCCTCTCCTCCTTCTCTTTTCTCCTCCTCTTCCTCCTCCTCCTCCTCCGCCTCTTCCTCCTCCTCTTCCTCCCCCTCCTCCTCCTTCTTCCCTCTACTCCTCCTCCTCCTCCTCCTCCTCCTCCTCCTCCTCCTGCTCCTCCTCCTCCTCCTCGGTCGGTCGGTCGGTCGGTCGATGAAGGCCTCTGAGTCACGCGGCCTATCAAAGGGCAAGAACAGCCAGTGCGGCGACGAGGGACCCCAGGGAGCCCGAGACCCAAGACGCCCGGACAGCTCCCAGGCCGACGCACCCACCCAAGAGGGGAGACGCAGGGGAGGAAGAAAGAAGACCAGGAGAGGAGGAGCCCGCAGGGGGGGTGCGTAGGCCCAGTCCCCGCCCACCCCCAGAGCCCGCCCACGCAGAGGGCACCAAGGATTTCGAGCCACGCCCAGCAGCACTCGTGGCGCCCCTCACCTCTGCGTCGCTGTCCGCACGTCCTGCCGAGCCTCGGGCGCAGCTGCCGAGCCACTCCCGCGGCATGCCCGCTGCCCCGCGTCTGCCTTTCTTGCCCCTCTGGGCCTGGGCCAGGCTCAGCCGTCAGCTGCCTGCTGGTGCCTGCTCGCTCAGCGTGGTCGTCCTGTGGCGAACTGCGGCGCGAGCTGCACCACGTACGCTCCGTCGGGGCCCCTGACGATCTCGACCCTGTTGGACCAGTTCGTGAGGAAGGTCACGATGTCCGCTTCGCCCACGTGCCGCACGTCGAGGGGCAGCCTCCACTGGGCCTCGAAATCCTCCTCGAGGTTGGCTAACGTAGCTGGCCCTCTGCCTGCAGCCATCCGGTCCGCCAGAACGCGTACCACTCCCTGCTCCAACATCCCGGCCATCGCGGCGTGCTCTTCGGGGCGCGAGCTCGCCGTGCCAAGGGCCGCGCGCTCCTCTGGCGCCTCAGCTTCCTCGAAGGCCTCGGCGCCCTTGTCCTTCTCAACGGCACTCTCTGCCGAGGGGCACGAGATGCTCCCAACAGACTGCGCCCTGCTCGGGACGGGCGTGCCGCGCCTGCGCCGGAGGGTGGAGCGCTCGCCGTACTCCCCGGAGAGAGCGTCCATCGTCCGCGATTGCTCATCCCGCGGTGGCGCTGTGGGTGCGGGAGGTTCCCATGGCTGCTGCATCCAGGGTGGCGGCGTCCAGGGCGGCGGAGCGCTGCTCGGAGCTGCCTGCGTCTGCGCCCAACCTGCGTCTGGCCCTTGAGCGGCAAGACCGGCTTGAGGCTCAGCGTGCTCGGTGGCCTCGTGGAGCGCCCGCGCCGCTGCCTGGCCAGTGAGGTCAGGCCTCGCCGGGGCCGCGGCAGCTCTGTCCGGATCCCAGTCCGCTCCGTTGCCTCCGCTACTGGCTGCCAAGGGCGCCGAGCCAGAGGGCGCGACCGCGCCGAGGGCCTCCGCCAGCGCTTTTCCGAGGCGCGTGGGGCGGCAGCCCCGGTGGCCGAGGTCCCGGAAGGCGCGTAGCAGCTCTTGAGCCGCGCGCGCCTGCTTGCGCCCCGCCTGGGCACGGCGTTCGGCTGCCGAGCGCCGCGGCCGCTGCGGCTGGCCTGCCGCGGCGCACCAGGGCGGCGCCGCCATCCCGCGGCCGGGGAGGGAGGGGGGCGCAGGGCGAGGAGAGCTCTGGGGGCAGCGGCCGAGGGGGCCGCCTGGCGCGGTCTCGCGGGCCGCACCAGGCGGCGGCCCGGGCCGAGTTGGCGCTCTCCTCCTCCTCCTCATCCTTCTCCTCCCCTCTCCCCCTCGCCTGTCCTTCTCCTCCTCCTGCTTTTCCTCCTCCTCCTCCTCCTCCTCCTCCTCCTCCTCCTCTTCCTCCCCCTTATTTGCGTGCTATGCAGCGCACAAGCAGCACGCATGCCGTAGAGACTCTGTGTAAATTGTGTCGGTGAATGTTTGGACTCGCCTCGTCATCCTTTCTTCCTTGCTCTCTTCCTCCTCCTCCCTTCCTGCTCCTCTGCTCTCGCCTCCTTGTCTTCTATCCCTCAGTGCCGCCATCGCCCCGATGCGTGGCGCCGTGCCCACGGCCGCTGGCGACGCCCATGGCCACTCGGAGGGGGGAGGGAGGGAGGTTGCGGCGACACACGGCCTCGGTGCCCCAGTCACAAGACAGCCGACAGCGTCAGAGTCACGCGGAGGTGATGGAGGAGGACGTGTGGGGGGCGGCCGTGCCTAGTTGCGGATGTTTTTGTGGAGGGGGTCCCGCGGAGAGCGTTCCCCTGACGTGCTCCAAGCGCCAGGCACGGCCTTGGCGCCGTCGCTGCTGTCAGGCAGGGCCCTGACTACTTTGCCAATGCGTAGCTCTTCAGAACCAAAAGGAAAGCCAAGAGCACCTGGCAATTTGGACTTCTCTGTGACTGCCTCTGCGGGGGCGACCACACCCAGCAAGGGAAAGTCAAGGCTGGCATTTTCGCCGACCCATCTCCCCTGTGCAGATGGTGCGGGCAAGAAGGAGAAACCCAGGAGCACACAGTGTCGAGATGGCCTTGCTGGGAGACGGAGAGGCCCGCCCGCAAAACTATGATCACCGAACAACAGTGGCAGACCTCCCGCCACGCACCAGGCACTGTGACCTCCTCGACCTCCAGGCTGCTTTGGCCGAAGACGAGCTTCCGCAGCCCATTCCGGAACTACGGTGGGGGCATTCGTTAAGGAATGTGCCCAAGAGGCTGTAGACGCTGGGGTATTCCTTATCCAATGGGGGCGGCGGTGATATCCATGGCCGATCCATGATTGGAGTTCCACCGGCTTCCAGACCCTGGATTCCTTATCCAGTGGTTCCTTAGCCAATGCCCCCACCGTCCGTAGCCATTTTGGCTCAAGCCGTTCCCTGTTCTGCTCGCTCTCGTTTTGGGCCCTGCGGGAGGCCGCAGAGTTCGGGCGCTTGGGGAGATGGCTACGGTCGGCTGCCAAGCTGCCCCTGTGGCGGCCGAGCAGCCTCGGCAGGCGGGAGGGGCCGCGGCTTCTCTCTGGCCTGCGCGCCGCGCCCGCCAGTGCGCTGCGCGCAGTGCTGCCCAAGGGAAGCTGGCGGCTGCCTTGGCGAGAGTCGCCACGCTCGAGGCCGAGCTCGCCGACTGCCGCGCGGTGCGCGGGGAGGCGGCGGCGCAGGCCGTGCGGATCGCGGCTCTTCCGCTCGGCAGCCAACAGGTCCCCGACGACGTCCTGGTCCAGGAGCTCGCGACGCGGCTGGCCCTGGCCGTGCCTGTGCTGATGGACATGCTCGCCGACCGCCGCGCAGCTGCAGTTGGCGCCGCTGTCCCTCGCGTTGCCCCCGCCGCGCCTCCCCCCCTCGGCGCGGACGTCAGCGACGAGCTTACATCGTCGCTCACTGTTGATGGGGCCGCTTCCTCGGGAGCATGCAGGCGCGCTTCGCCGCTGGCCACCGCCAGGCGGAATGCTGGCATGCATTGCGCTTCGAGGAGGGGCGCATCAATTGCGAAGATGAGGTTGACATCGCTCAACCGACTGCAGCGTAGCGGTCCAGGTTGTCGACCTCGGCAAGGACGCGATGCTGGTGGTCGCGGTCGTGCTGCTCTTCCTCAGCTTCGCCCTGCAGGTGCAGCGGTTCCACGTCGCCGCGTGCCTGCCCAGCGCTCGGCGGCCGAGGGAGTGGAGACGGGCTGGTGTGTGGCTCGCAGGCGCGGGCGCAGCCTGCCCGCTGGCGCGTCCTTCGTGCTCGCCGAGCTCGTGCGCAGAGCGGGTCATCCCACTGCGGCCCCGCTGGCTTCTGGGCCGCTTTGGTGGCACGCTGGCGTCGAGGGATTGGATGACTCGGCCTTGGCAAGGCCTGAGAGCAGCGGCGGCTTCGGCGAGCACCCTGCCCCTCGGCCTTCTGAAGGTGGTGCTGTTCATCCTCATCGCCTCCCTGATCCTGGTGCGGCGTGAAGCACTGCCTGCACCTCCTCGCCTGCTGCTTTCGCGGACCCCTCGATCGTCACGGCGTACTTGCTGGCCAACGAGTCTGCCGTCCTCAGCGGTGGCAGCGAGAGGGCCGCTGGCGACATCGACGGCGAGTTCAGCATGCAGGAGGTCGGCTCCCGCAATCAGGACGGCGACAGGTCCTCGGCCTCGGATGCCGTGGCGCACGACGGCTTCGACCTCTCCCCGCACTTCGGCGCGGACGACGGCGTGGAGGCGGCTAGGCCCCAGCGCAACGGCGGCAGGAGCCTGGACGACGACGCCCTCGTCACTTCGCCTCCCTCGGGCTCCTGCTCCTGCTCTGGCGGCGGGGGGATCGATGAGGACGACGGCGTGGGCGGCGTCGGTGACGGCTGCACGCTCCACGGCTCGGAGACGGTGGCGCGCCAGGAGCCCGCGCGTGGGCCCAAGAGGCTCCTGGCTCTGCGCCGCCACGTCTTCGCGGGATGCGTGGCCCTCACGGTTGACCGCGACATTCGGAGGCCGGGCTGGCAGGGCGCAGGCGGCGACGACGCCCCTCCAGCTCCCTCAGCCTCCGAGCGAGAAGCTGGGCGCCTCTGGCTCCGCGACACGTTCGGGCCTGGCTCCCCGTGGAGGACGTGGGCCAGGCAGGAGCGGCGGCGGAGGCGCGAGGCTCAGCTCCAGCAGTAGGCGGCGGTCGACGCTTTCTCTCTGGCGAGCGTGCTCTGCGGTGCAGTCAGCCTCGCTTGCCTTGCTTGACGGCATCTGAATTTGTCTGTGCATGATAAGCCCCAGGGTGATAGGGTTAAAAAAAAAATGCCCCCACCGTACCGCGGGGGGGCTCAGAAAGTGGGGTCCCATCAAGAGCAGACCGACGACCAAGGAGCCCGATGGGCTTGTGCTGCTACCGACGGCGCCTGCGCACACCGACCCTCTGCCCTTCTGGCCAGGGCGAGTTCTGGCGTTTCCTGCGGTCCAAAGCCACCGGCTCAGCTATTCTGCCTGTCTGCGCGGTTTGGCACAGTCAGCGCAGCGGGCCGAAGCGCTTGCCATGCTGCACCTTGTCGCCACGGCAGAACGGCCGGTGCGTGTTTTTGTCGACAGCCAGGCGGTCGTCGACGGGCTGAAAGACCTCCTCAGGGGTAAACCACCGCAGCGTGCGGGGCCCAAGCGGACCTCTGGAAAGGCCCAATGTGCTTAAAATCCAAAAGGTGGAAAGTCATTTGGGGGAGCGAGGTATCAACGAAAGGCGTATCAATCCTTTCGCAGAAGCCTTCAACGTTCACGCTGATGAATTCGCCACCGCGGGGATGCGGCTGCACATTGTCCACAAGGTTTGGTCAACGCTGCCAAATGGCGACGCAAGTTTGCCGCTGTCCTCCATCGCGCGGCCGTCGCCGTATACGACCGGCGAGATCGCCCCCCCGACCTCGCAGGAGAGCTGGGCATTCCAGGTCGGAACTTTCAGAATTGACGCCGAATCTGTTCACCACCAGATTAAGGGGGCAGGACAGGTGCACAAGGAGGACCACCTCCGCTGGACGGCCCACCAGGACCAGACCACTTCGACGAACCCGACAATTTCGACCCGCCTTGGCTTGGGGCCTCGCTGAATGATGGCGAAGCAAACGGCTTCCCCTTCAGGGCCACTTCCTGAGCGAAGACAACGCAGTCGAGGACCACCCTGACGTGCGCAGCCATAGTCTCCCTCAGTCAGTCGACAACCGCCCAGGAGCGTCAGACCCCAGCGGTTACCCCGAACCCCCACCTCAACTGGCCCCCCCCCTTCGGCCCCCCCAGGGTTCTGACAGGGGTTGCTGACAGGCCAGAGACGGCGGTAACCACGCCAGCGTTACCGCCCGACGCGCGGACCGTAGGAAAGCCCCCACGCAACGGCCCACTGCGGCGAATAGTCAGCCCCAAGGTGACCGTGAAACCGCCCTCATCGCCGATCTTCGCGCGCCCCAGCAGCAAGCTGGCCAGCTGGCGCCTTCCACTCGACAGGCCCAGGGACCGTCTGCCCCGCTGCTCGACGGGCTCCAGCGAGCGCACAGAGGCCTGCAGCGGCCTGCAGCAGGGCCTTTCGGCCGCCGGTGGCCCTGGGGGCGTTCCTCCACGGCGCCTTCCACGCTTTTATCGGCGCTCGACGTGCGGCGCACCAGTGCTAGCACACCTCTCCGCCGAAGTGCTACGTTGCCAACTGGCAACTGTTCCGTCGCCTGTTCTTGGTGGCCCGCCGCGGGGGATGCCCTAGAGCGGCGCCGTTCACTTTTCCCACGCCCCGCATCGCGCATGCCAGCGCGCGTGCACAGGCGGCGCGGCTGCCACGGGTGCGCAGACGGGCCCCTCAGCGGCCTGATCACCGCATGCCCTCTTTACTTTCCAGTCGGGGTCCCCACGGACCGCTCCAGGGGGGAGGTCATCCCACCACCCCTGTTCCTTGAGCGGCGCCTCCTGCCTCGTGGGAAGGCCTCGGGGCGCTTGCAGCCTCGGGGCCTGGACAGACCAATTGTCCAAAGTGCTGCGCTCTCCTCCTCGCCCTCGCCCTCCCCCCCCCCTTCTCCCCCCGTCCCCCCCCTGTCCCCCCCCCCTTCAGCGGAGATCGCTCTGTTTTGAAAGAGCTTGAGCCCCGATGTTATTACAGTCATACAGTCCTCTAAACGAAGCAAAGCCATGCTTTCAACTGATAAGAACAGATACTACTCATGCCCTATATCAGACCCAAATCTTCGCTCCGGTTCTAGTGTCCCGGATATCATGGGTTTAATTATGATATTCGCTGCGGGTGCACCTCAAAACAGATATAGGTGCTTTTAATTCTCCACCTACAATACAAATACACAATCTCTCAAACCTCACGTCTAAGAGACAGGCAAGCAAGCAGGCGGCCAGCAGCATGCAAGCAAAAGGAGGCAGTCAAGCCTCGTTCACCAAGTACAGGTGGTCGACGATGTTCATGAAATACCGCAGTAGTACCTCCATCGTGAACTTCACCTTGATAATAAAACATTGGCCTATCCATTGAATATCATTCGTTGGCTGCCTTTGTAGTTGCATTCGAATTCTTCTCCTCACAGCTTCTACTCGTTGAGATCTAGCAAGTCCTGCTCTGAGTAGCTGTCCTGTTGATGTATGATACGTCGTATCGTGATATACTTGCCCTTGGGTGGTCTCACATACCATCGGCCCGTCGTCAGATGTTCCATGAGTAACTTGAATGTGCCCGTCTTGGTGAGCCCGTCGACTATGACCACTTCGGTGGGCAGGTGGATGAAGTTGCGGATGCGTCCGCTGAGCCTCTCCTCGCGCATGCTCAGTACTGCCAGCCTGCTCGACTTATCCGAAGGCACGCCTTTCACTCCACAGCATAATTGCCAGAAGTCCATGCAGTCCGTGCAGTGGTCGATTCTTACTTGATACAATGAACGATCGAAAATCTCCATCATGTCCTTTGCCTTATGTTGAGTCTCTGAACACATGATAATCTCGCTCATCCGTAATGCAATAAACTGGGCCGCTTGGTTCACCTTGTAGCCGGCATTCGTCTCTGCGTTGCACGTGGAATGAGATATACGCTTGGACTTCCCAGAAGAAATCATCAAAGGATGGGTTGAGCCTCCGAGGAGGTAGTTGTCACTAGGGTCCACTAGGTCCTTCTTGTCGATACGTACTTGATACATGTGGTCCTCCATGAGAAATACCGCTGATCCTTCTTGGGGATAGGACGTCTTTGTGTTGCCGTGACCTGCGTCTCCAACTGATACTAGCCTGACCGGGTAAGATAATGGTGCGAAATGCAATCCCGCCATCTTCATGTTCCTCTTGGCGCGGTCCACGATCAAGTTGGCCTGCTTCAGGTGTCCGATATTGCTTTTCTTCACGATCTGCTGTAGCTGCACCACGTCGCAATAGATGTCCTCTCGTGTCTGGCAAAGCCACAACAGTGAACAAAGTACTGATCTCAAATCGTGCGTCAACTTGGCGTCACATTCATGGTCGAGCTTGTCCTTGAGCTTGAAGGGTATTTCGATCTTCTTCAGTCCTTCCGTGAATACATGTTGATGTATGAATAAGTGTCTCTCGCCCAATACTTCATAGCTCATACCCATGTGCGTGAAAGGAAGCTCGTGTCTCTTGATCTTGCCGAATCGCTTCTCCATGGAATTGAGACCCCATAACAACCATGCCTGTTTCGCCAATACGATAATGTCGTCCACGTGTACCGTCCATACCATCATAATGTTGCCGTCCTTGACCCACATAAAGAAATTATCGTCGAACACGCTCTGAACTCCTTTCATGTCGTCCAACACATGTAATGATAAAGCCAGCTGCCACAATAAGGGTGCGTCCACCGTACCGTAGATGGGTTTCAGCAGCTGCAATACAAAGAAACATACTTCCGTCTCGGGAATCCTGATGTTGCTCTTCTCGTACTCCCTAAAGTGCCGCCAGACGTTGGCCGGAGGTTGAAGATGCACTTTGCGTTGTTCACGAACCTCGATGCCCATGCGCTTGGCGTGCTTACGCAGCTGCTCGTAGTTCAGTCCCTGTAGGAACGCCGTCGAAATGTCCCAGGTCTCCATGATCATGTCGCTCTCCGTCGAGTAGAGGGATGCAATCAATCTCTGTGAGAGTCTTGATGCTGTCGATGAGTGCCTCATCACGTTTTGCTTTTGTGCGTCCAAGAAACCTCGACCGCAAAGCCTTGACTTGATGATATACGTGATGTTGTTATACTTATCGAAGACCTTCTTCCAACGTCGCACCCACACCGCGTCGATCACATTCGAACTGTCCATGTTGTTGTGATGAACGGCTTTGAAACATAAATTGTCTATGAACGACCTCGATTCCAATCGGTCTGCCGCCTCGACGAGCGGCCAGTACTTGATGATGTCTTCCTCAGTCAAAATGTCGTCGTTCTGGGCGAATATCGCATTGCCGGTGTTCAGGTCGAAGTAGAAGGTTCTGCTCTCCTTGAACGGTCCGGGTATCGTCCAATGTGCTTCTTCCGCCGTCCATGTTAACTCGTTATCGCTCATGCACTGGAGGTTGTCTGAAACTTCCTGGGCCATGCTGGTCATGATCGTCTGGTACTCGTCTAATTCATCGCTGTCCATGTAGGCGCTGACCAGGTGTCGATCTTGAACGTGGTGAATGCTAAGTTGTTGATCGCCGAACGCTGTGAATCCTTCCATCGTCTTCGGGCGTTTCGTGTCCGTCAACAAGGGTGGCGATCTTTCCAGGATAGGTAGTGGTCTCTTACCGTCTGGAGGTTCTGAGCTGGCCCTTAGCTTCTTGTTCTCAGGTGGTTGTGATGGTGATACCTTCAATCGTACGTCTTCAAGGTCTTGAGAGAGATCATGTTTACGAACACCTTGAGGAGTAACCACTTGAGATAGATCTTTAGCAGCTTCTGGAGGGATAACTGGTTCTTTAACAACTCCAGGACTTACAGGCTGAGACTTTCCTGTCGATGACGCCGTTGGGGGTGATCCGTAATCTCGCGTTGGTTCTTCAGCAGGTCCATAGTCCACCGTTGCTTGTTCTTCTCCTCCGTCATACACGATGGTACTCTTGTCTCCGTAGGGAGATGATGCCGATGGTGAACTCACCGCTGCTCTCGTCGGAGGTGGTGTTTGCACTACTGGAGGATTATCCATGGTCTTCGTCGGCGTAAAGCTCGACGCTGTCGGTGTAGGAGATGAGGATGGAGCTGCTGAGGATAGAGATGGAGCTTTAGGTGGAGATTGTGTCGTAGGTGTTTCCGTAGTCGTTGCCGGTGTTGCAGTCGTCGCCGCGGGAGTCGGTTGGATCCCAGTTGAACTTGTTCCGCCAGGAGCAGTCGTGCTTCCTGATGAGCTCGAGGTGCCAGGTTCGTTCCTTACTCTGATCGGTGGTCGGCTAAGTTCTCGTCGTCGTGCCGGTGGTGTCGATTGAGCTCGCGTTGCTTCAGTAGTCTCCTTGATGATCGGCGTCGATGATGGTGCTACTGAGGTCGCTTTTGGAACTGTCGCCTGCTTGGGTACTGGTAGTACTGGTGGTGCGTATGGTGCTGGCCTTGCCAGTGTTCCTCTTGACTTCCATGTTGCCTGACCAGGTACTAGCCATCCGCGAGGTGGCTGTAGTGGGCTCCCGCCAACCGCCGGCGGCGCCGGTGGTGGAGGAGGAGCTCCCGAGCCTGACTCTGGCACGAACTGCTCGTCACTGATCATGCTCTTGTCATCCACTTCGATACTCTGCTGAGATTCGTCCAGTGCCTGTCGATCTCGCTTCCAGCTGTTGTCGTCTCGCAAGGTAACTCGCTGCGGAGCTGGTGGTGGAAACGGTGGTCTTGGCGGGATATTGCTGTCCGCCTCGATGATGCTGACGTCTCCATCCGGCCATGCCGTGTCGCTGATGTCGAATGTCTGCGGGCTTGGAGCTGCTGCCACCGCTCGTTCAGGAGCAGGTGGTGGTCCCGGAGGTGCTCCTCCGCCGTATGGCAGTCCTGCTGGAAGTGGTAGTTGATCGTGTTCGGGTCGAAGTCGGATTCCAGCTGCTGGAGGAGCTGGTGGAGCAGGAGGTCCAAGTCCAGGATGTACTTCTGCTGCTTGAGGATGTCCATGTCCAGGATGCTGTACTGCCTCTGCTGGTGCCGGAGGCGGTCCAGGTGGCGGTGGTTGTCCTCCTTGTTGTTGTACTTCCGCCACTGAGTCGCGGTCAGGTGATAGAGGCCATTGAAGAGGTAGGTCTAGCATGCTCTCATCGTCGGGATCGATCGCCGAGATGTCCGAGAAGTCGGGGATGACGTACTTCTTCGTTTCCTCGTCTTCTGTCATTGATGAGAAGGAGTAGAACAGGATACTGCACGCGTTGACGTCGCTCATGTTCGGAATGGCATTGATGATGTCCAATACCTGTCTGCTGGGATTGATGTCCGTTGTCACATACTGATCGCGTCTCGTGCAGTCCCAGGTCACCTGTCGTCCGAAAGTAGTTCCAGTAACCGCGTATAACCGTCGAACACATCTGCCAAAGACAATGCCGTCGATCTTGATTCCCCACTCGTCCTCTGCGCACTGCTGAGCTAGACTCCAGACCTTGGGAGGTGTCTCTCCCATACTGGATGAGGCTCGCATCTTGCCGTCGGCGCCAATCAGCATGCCCACGATCTGCGGCTTGAACGGAACCGTGCCTTCCACAATGTCAAGCATGTCGGTATAGTCCGTGACCAAGTACATCGAAGGTGGAGATGCTGTATGTTGACGCTCGTAGCTGTTGGTCCAAGCCTCTAGTCTCTGATGAATCCGAATGTGCCGCAGTGGAACGATGTAGGGATATCCATTCCATACCACGATCGCTCCTGTGCTCTTCATATGTAGTAGATCACATGGTCCTCGCCAGCCCTCTTGATCCTTCTTGCTCGGTGTGCGATACAAGTCCACTTTGTCACCGACTTTGATCCTCTCGATGTCCAGTTTCTGTGGTCGAGACTTGTTGGCTATGGCGAGGCGTTCTTCAACGATCGTCTTCAGGACATTCTGCTTGGATAACAATCGCATACGTACGTTCGACTCAAACGTGTCGGGTGAAATCTCGAGCGCGCCCTTATGGGCCATGGTGGTCGCCGAATTCTCGTCGTAGAAGTCCCTAGGAGTGTAGCCGAGAAGTGCGTTGGCGGGCGTGCTTCCTCCGAAGTTGAGCAATAAGTTCTGCGACATCGCCGCCTCGTACATTAGTGTCTCCTTGGAAATGTTGAGGCCCTCTCGCTTGGCGACCACCTCGTTCTTCAGCGCTATTGACTTAGTCATGCGAATGTGAGATTCCACCAATCCAGTAGTACTCTTCTCCTCTTTGTTGGTGTCCGTGCCGGCAAACTCTCGTTTGATCGTGTACCTGTCCAGCGTCGTTCCAACGAGGTCCGAGGTTAGAGCTCCTTCCTGATCCGATACGAATGTCTCCATGGGCCCGAAGAATCTGATCCAGCATTCTCCCATGCAACGTAGGTACTCTGGGGCCGTCTTGTCCTTCATCACTCCAATGACCTTGTATCTGATGTGCTCATCCACTAGAATGAGCCATATCATGTCCCACAGGAAGAATAAGTCGCCCTGAACTCGCTCGTTGAACTTCGTCGTGATGTGTGCGCGAAACGCTGGTCGGTGTAATGGCATGGCATACTTGCGACAACCTTCGCACAGATCCTTGACCACTTGTGGGCAGAGCTTGATGATGTTCGGTTCCACTCCAAGGGCCGCCAGTAGTCTCGCCATCTCATCAGGAGTAGCGTGCCAGAACTTCAGATGAAATCCCAGGAGCAATGCCAGTCGTGCTTGATCCGAAGCCGCCTCTTCGAGTTGATGTTTGAAGCGCTGCAAGTCGAAATTGGGCTTGATCACTATTTCCTTCTTGGGTGATTTACTGCTGATGCTCGGCTGGTCCGTGGTATCGCCCTTAGAACTCGTCTCCTTTCCTTGTGGATCAAGTCCTGGTGGTGGTTCTGGAACTTCTGAGCCTGGCTCATGAGCTGGTGGATGTGGAACTGCTGCCGCTGGTTCTGGTACAGGAACTGCTGCTGGTGCCGGTGCTGCAGGTGCAGGAGCCGGTGCCACCGCTTCCGCAGGAGCTGGAGGAAGATGTACTGGTGGTGGCCCAGCAACTCCAGGAGGATTCCGGTTGGGATCGAACCTGCACCCTTTTATTCTCGTATGTGGTGTCCCTGCCTTGTTTCCATGCTTGCACCTCTCGCACGTCCAGAAAAGAAGGTCCAATGGTGTCTTGAGTGTCATCTCGATGCGCTTGCCGATGTCCTTCAAGATGTTCTTGCACAGCTTCTCTGGGAAGATCTTGGCCTTCGATGTCTGGGCGCCTCCAACGAGCCAAGCATGGGGACGTACGCACTGACACTGAATTGCCGTTCTCCTCATGCGAAGGGATGCCATGAACTTCGTCCGTTTCTGGATGGGTGTGCCTTCTGCGTCCTGAGCTCCGTGCTGGCACTGGTCGCAGGTGTTATTGTACATGCGCTCGTCGCTCTGCAGCTCCTTCAAGGGTGACTCCTCCCAGATCGCGCTCTTGGCTGGGTTCTCTATGACGTAGTCCGTGCCGTCCAGGTTCGTGTTCTTGCATTCGTCGGATACCCATTGAAGTGCTGGAAGATCTGCTGAGCGATTCGCTGCCTTTCTCTCTGGATCTGCCGTCTGACTCGCCTGTGACCAGGGGGTACACTCTGGCGTGTAGAGTTTCACCTGGATACGGATGGCCTTTTGAAACCTGGTAATGATGTCCTGGTGTTCCTTCAGTCCGAGGTTCCAGCCGTATCTCATATCTGTTGGGAATAATACCGAGAATTCGCACTTCCATGCCCAGAATGACAAGGTACTGCTTCCCGAGAAGTGTTCCTGCATGTCCACGCTCGTGATCTTGTAATCTTGGAGATGTTTCAGGAAGCTGTCCGCGTTTCTGGGGGTAATGACCGTTAGTTTCGTCTTGGTGTAGAACTTCTCTGGGATACCCTGGTAGTTCTTCTGCATTCGTTCTTGTTGTTCCGGATTCAGGCCGTCTGGAATCATGTCACCAGTAAAGCCGCTGCCCTTGAACATGCCCCAGACCTTCCAGAAGTTTTGTGTTCTTGTAATAGTCGTTTTCCTCGTAGGATACTGGTGGTCTTGGGTGCGCTTGTCGTCTCCACAACTGTGTCCAGCGAATGCTGTCTTCGTGCTCAAGAAGTGGTGCGTGTTGTGAGCTGCGGGCTGGCCGATGTGATCCTTGATGCTCTCAATGCTCTTGCTGAGATGGTCCAGCTGCTTCAGAATTTCTGGGTTGGTCGTATCCCTGCTCATGCCCGAAAAAGTCGATGACTTCGCTCCGGTGCTAGTGTCCGCGGGTGCTGTGTCCACTTGAAACTCCGCCGATCTGCCTCCAGAGCGGGATGGTTTGAAGTCCCAGAATATTTGAAGATGCTCCAGAAGAACTCCATGAAGATATTGTTGATCAACTTCTTCTCGGATATGCTGGTTGTCCGTCGGGATGATGTAGTGCCGAGAATCCGTCAACAGGAGCCTGATATACACTGGTGTAGCTCGATTGCCAAGTCGTCGATTGTCAGGGAAAATCACCAGGATGCCGTCACCGTTGTCGAACATCGCCGAGAACATAATGGCCCTGTATCTGATCGAGGTTGGCAGTGGCATCAGAGCCGGGCACCAGCTTCCCATGCCTCCGATCATGTCTCCCGTGAACGTTGCGTCCTTCATGGCTGGGATGCGTAGTGGTAAGATCGCCTTGCCGATGCCGGGTGTAGGCTTGCCGTCGATGCCCGTGAACTGAGCTCGGGTTGGTCTGGATTCGATCTCTGCGCCGCCGAGAATCTCCTGCTGATATTCCCGTACCGTGTCCGTGCCGATGATGCCTGACGATGCACCAGGATCGTAAAGCAGACCAAACCTTTTAGTGCCTTTGATAGAATGATAGCTCGTGTTGACTTCGTGCACGTTGTGATTGTTCTGCTGTGACACTTGATCTTCGTAGCACAAGTTCTGAACTTCTCTGACAAGGAAATCCAGGCCTCCAGGAACGATTCCGCGAGGTAGGCGACGGGGTTCGGCTTCCTCGTCTTTGTCGAAGGCAGAGGCATGATCAGGAGAGCCCATGTCTGAAATAAAGTCTCTAGTCGGAGCTCTCCGAGTCGGTCTTGGTGATGCTGGTCCTGCTGCCTGTGCCGAAGGAGCCAAGGTGGGTTTCGATGCTGACGCTGAGGAGGTCTCTTGAAATCCTTGTCCCATGTCTGGTGACTCCGGGTCGTCCAGGCTGTAGGAGGGTACTGTCTGCAGTGAAGACCAGGATGAACCATGATGGACTTCTGTTCGATTGTTGAAGGTCCACAGCGCATCCTTATTCTGGGTCTTGGTTCTCGTCGCATACCAACTGCCGTAAGTGGTACTCCAGTCCCAATCATCGTCGTAGTACTCCTCGTCGTAGTCATCACCATAGTGGCCCTTGCTCTTCTTGCCTTTGCCTTTGCCTCTGCCACGGTAACCTTTTCCTCGTCCTTTGCCTCGACCGCGGCTCTTTCCGCCACGATACTTGCCCTTGCCGTTGTTCGAGTCCGACTTGCTCTTGCCGTTCCCTTTGTTGTCGTCGCCTTTCTTGGTGTCCTTCTTGCCTCCGGCCGGGCAGTCTTCAGATCGATGCCATCTAGAGCCGCACTTGCTGCAGTTGCCTGGGTTTCCTTTCTTGCCCTTGCCGGATCCCTTGTACGCCTCGTCATCTGCTGCTGAGG